TCCCTTGTTATTCTTTGGTTCTCTTCTCTAGGAAGAGGATAAAGTTACTAAGAAAATGGATGCACTGATGGAAAAGCACTGTTAAAAGGTCCCAAGTAAGATACAAGCATTTTGTCCTTCCCTCAGCTTCGGTCAATTTATAAACTGAACTGAGTTTAAGAGCCAACGTAGTTGGCTATAGGCACAGAAACACTGAAGGTAAGTGATGGCTTAAGTTCATTTTATCAGTTGCTCAGCCAGTCACTCTGCCTATCTCCACATGCAAAATCTGCTTTCATCCATTATCTGTTCTCAGCCCAGTTTCTCTAGTCCAAAGAAGTAACAAGCTGATTGTTACAACCAAGTCAAGCATTATCATCAAATTACTCTGTTTTTCCATGTAACACATAATCATAGCTGTTAAAACTTCTCTGAAACATAAAGTTCAGTATGACTAAAACAAACCAAAAAAAGTAATGGCAATCACACTTCCTTCCACATAAGATTAAAATCTAACAGAGAGATTTTGAAGGTTTTTAGAAAGCACTTCAAAGAAATTTTTACTTTTCAAAAATGGTGATGTAGATGTTCAATTCTTCTGGAAAACTAAAAACCGATCCAGAAACATTTCAGCATCTAAAACTGGGGTGGGGGGGAATGAAAAAGAAAAAGACAACAAAAAAAACCAAACAAAAAAAACCTCAAACAAACAAAACCCAAAAAAACACACAAACACACCACCACCACCCCCCCCAAAACAAAACAAAAAAGAACCCCACAACACCAGAACACAGCTATAAACAAAACAAGTCAAGACCTCTGCTACGGTATTGGTTTAACTGTGACTATCAACATAGAGCTGGGAAAAAAAAAAAAAAAAAAAAAGAAAAAGTGTTGCTTATTGGAAAATACACATAAATCTTTACCTGCAGCTCTGTAAAGTATTTTAGGTTCAAAGAATATGCATGGATTTTTGTCCTCTATGCATGACAGGAGCAGTCCTTTGGCCTGAAGAGGACTCCTCGGAATAACAATCTGTAAAAATATTTTTTAAATAGCTTATTTAAATTGCAATTCTGCTACAAGCTTCTTTAAATAACATTAAGAAACAATTATTTGCTTTATGTACAGACTGAGTAGTTCTTGCAAAGTGAATTAACATCAGCGCTGTTACTGACATACACTCAAAATTTTGAATTTCATTTTGCTCATTCATCAGGCTTGAATAGTTCCCCTCTACACCATGATGTAAATACCAACGGACTCCCCTCCAATAGTGTAGAATTAGGATCTTAATCACATTTTGAGGTAGAAGGAACAGAAGAAAGTAGGTCAGATTAAATGTATATATATATTATTGTTAGTTTAGTAAAATTAATGCAGATGTATGACAAAAAAAAAAAAAAAAAATCAGCTGAGTGATCCTCAGTTGCTTGGGTAAAGATTCATCAAAGCAGTCCTAGAAGGTATTCAGACTCAGTCCAGAAAATTTTTATGACTAAAAAGTAAATAGCTCTTTAAAGCTGACTTCCTTTGCTTATGGAAAGGAAATTCCAAATTTTTGGAAATGAACAAATACCAAAAAATGCCTTAAACTATCATCAAGCAAAGAGAAAACTAAGCAAAGCCTCCAGATGTAATCTGAATACTAGGAAGGAAAAGTATAATTGATTTGCCAACAGAAGGGTTAGTTTTGGATGATCTAATCGAATGTTATGAACAGAAAATTACCAAATCATCACAGCTTAACTGAAAATAGAACCTAAGAGCTCAATTCCGTCAGATCAGAAGGTCAAGCTAATTTACATCTCAGAGATCTTCAAGAGCTGGGACATGCAGCATAAAGTCTACTAGCAAACATTTTTTATAGCTGTGAAATTACAAGTGACTGCCTCTGACTAAAAGCAATAGTTGTAGCACTTGTTTAAAGCAAAAGAGTAAATAAACCCATGTAACTACAGACAGGGTAATTTGCTGCCTCCAGGAGTTTCCAAGGCTTCAAAATATTTTTTTGAGTGCAAGAACATTTAATTAGAGGAAAGAAATAGAAAATAGTCAAAATACAACTTAAATCTGCTATCACATCAAATTAACCTGATACATGATTTTTGTAAACAAGGGATAGAAGTAGTCTATTAATATTTCACCTAAGTATTTGGTAACAAGACACATGGGAAACTACCAATGGATGTTATTAGTGCAGCTCCTTAGGGATCAGTTTTAGAACAGACTTTCTTTATGTTATTCACTCATGACATTAAGTCAGAACATGGCAATAAAAACTGTTCACAAGCTGAGAGTCACTGCCACTTCAGCCACTACAGAGGGTGGTAACAAAAGATATAGTTCACATAGAAGACATGACCGACAAAAGCACAAGGAAAATGAACAAAACATACTGAAAAGTCACACAGTTAAGGACTGCATTTTTGTTATCAATTTAGAACACAGCAGTAGAAATTCAGATTTGAATTTATTATCTGCTCAAAGGATGACTAGGACATTATGCCATACAGCCCTAAAAAAGCAAGTAATATAGTCAAGGAATTGTTAGCACTATTGCAAAAATTACTGCTAGAAATTCAGCTGGAATACTTCATGACTATATCAACTGTTTTGAAAGAAAATTTGAAAGAGTTGCCAATAAAGCTTCAGAAATTGTTAACATCTCTCTGATATTTTGATTTGCTTAATCTAATAAAACAAAGACTAAAGGGAAAACAATTGTTCTCTTAGTATATGAAGGGAAGATGAAAGACAGAAAAGTTAAATATACAAGTTAGTCAGGGACAAATTCAGGCTGAAAATTAAAAGAAAGCTTCCAGCCATGACAGCAAATATTCTGGAACAATGGAATGGCAAGTCAATACAGTGATTCCGGAAGTCAGTCTGATTAAGACATACATCCTCACAACAAAAGATACAACCAACCATCCAGCAATGTCCTTATCACCCTAATAAGCCTTGTCTTAAGTACTAATGGTGACAGTCCTTCCCATGAACAGCCAAAGTTGTACAAACTCCCTTTTGCTTGGAAAATACAAACCTCACCTTAGGAAAAGCAAAAAATAAAAATCTTAGGTGAGAGTTTAACAGAACACTTTTGAAAAGCACTCTCCCTAAAGGTCAATCCTACCCTTCCCAGCTTGCAACACATGACCTTTCCTACTGTAATTCAGAGAAAATATGCACAGATTGGGACTTTCGGAAATGCATCTGAACCACAAGTCCATTTGCACTTTTGGATTCATACATGAAGGGCTGGGTTTGGGTCCATTCAAAAAAACACCTGCAACCTTGAAAATAAAACCTTAAATATTAATCGCATTAATGAACAGCCGCGCAAAAAATACTAAAGAAACAACATTATTTTCAAAGATACAAAGTTCAAAAGATTGAGTCTGAAACACTTCTCTGAGCATCAAAAACTAGCGTATTATTCCATCAGTTCCACAGAACTTAATGTGTCTTTCACCTTTAACTAGTGGTAGCAACCCATTTCAGCACTTTACCCAAGGAAAAGTGAAAGAAAGCAAAAAAGTCAACAAGACAAAAGATCAGAGATGAGAGAAAAGAAATTAAATCACCTGAAGTGATTAAATAAAATTCTGACTTGTTCATTTATTCAGAAGACTAAGCACAGCCATACTAGCTCGCTGTGAATTAGATAAATTAATTAAATCACCAGAGTGGACCACTAAATGTCAGCACTTGGTTCAGTTCATAAAGATTTGAGATTGACCAACAAGATCAGGATAAGTTAGCTAGACCTGGCATCAGTGTCTTAATCATAAGTTCTATTGTGCTTCCATATGATAGTAAACTACCCTAGTTTTTAAACAAGCTCCAAAACCCATTTGATTCGACTACCTCACAAAAGACATTGTAGACTGCTTTTATCTATATCTGGAAATATTTTCAAGATCAAAATAGGACCACCTCAGAGACCATAAAGAACACCCAAAGACAAAAATGCATTGTTACTCAAATATCATGAAATATGAATAATACAGGATTTTTTATCTAGGTAAAGAGAAAAAAGTAGGAGAGCTATGGCCTTCCTGTAAATGAGTAATATCTGGAGTTTCAGAGCACCAAAACCGTATATAGACAATAGTCTATAAAGATAAACAATGAACGTGTCTTCAGCATACAAATACTGGTTTTACTTAAGTCTTGCACATTGATCAAGCTATGAGTCATGTCTCAATGGACTGGATGCCAGTTAACCCAGAAGTTCAAGTCCATAGACAAAATTTTACCCAGAAAAATGGAGAGCTGCAAACAGTGTTCTCAATCTGAGACAATAAGAACCCACCCCTCCCTCTTCTCTAACAAACCTCTCCCTCTTCTTCTAGCAAAAGTAATCCATCTAATTGGTAGGAATCTTAGTTTCAAGGGATGCCACCATCTCGCACAGAAAGCCTCCCTAAAGTTATTATTCAGAGAATCATGGAACAGTTCATGTTGATAGGGACTCCCAGAAGTCATCTGGTCCAATGCCCCTGCCCAAGCAGGGTCACCCAGAGCCAGCTGCCCAGACAACTTCCGAATACCTCCACAGAGATACCACAACCTCCCTGGGCAACCTATGCCAAGTGCTTCCTTATTGTTCAGACAGAATCTCTCATGTTTCAGTTTGTGCACACTGCCAGTCACTGTCATTCATATAAATGAATCTGATAACACACTTAACATGACAGATACAGAAATGAAAAAAAATGAAAGTACTATTTATTAATGCTAGCTTTTAGTTTCTGTGCTATACTAGGCACAGATGAAAAATGCATGGTTTTATTGCAAAAAGCACACAAATACAAAATGCTACTACATCTACTAAAGTCTGCTACAAATTGGTTCAATAATAGCCATAAATTCTCAAACACTTAACACAGTTTAAATTTTGTAACTTGACAACTTCTAGAAGAGTTTTTAATTAATGTATTTAGATATTTTGCTGTGGACTGACTTCCACTCTTCTTTCCCTGCCTGCACCCAGACTCATTGTTAGTCAGGTCCATTAAAAACAAACCAACAAAATTAATCTTCATAAAATATGAGTTACTGTACCTTTATTCCAGGACAATGAGCAAAAAAAGCTTCTGGACTCTGAGAGTGATATAGTGCACCATGACCCACACAGCCCCAGGGAGCTCTGATGGTGAGGTTCCCACAATTAAACAGATCTCCAGACCGGTAACGATATTTTGCTGCTTCATTAACAATCTGGGAAGATTTATATATGAAAGTAATATTCAGTCAATACCTTTAGTTATGCGTCATTAAGCCTCTATAATACATGAGCTGCAACTATATCATCTGTACCATGCATGCAGTTCAAAGGACCGAATTAGTAGCAAAGGAATCCTGTAAGACAGTGCAAAGGCAAACAAAGCAATGACACAGTGTGCGTAAGTTAGATGCCTAGGCCTCAGGAGTTGCCATATAACCCAGTTGTTTCCCCATCCCACACTGTCAATCAGCCCACTTCAAATCTGTAGTTTGTCCTGTGGACACGTGGCCAGCTCCAGCAGCATAGAGAAGTGAGAGGTGATTTTGGGAGGACACAGCTGATGAATTTAAGACTGCTGAAGCCAACACATCCAAAAAACCAACAATGAAATCAAAGAGACATTTGTTTCAAACCACATTTTTTATTTCCATTATTTAATGAGCCTTCAAACTGGCTTTGGTACCTTCCTGTTTACTTAAAGCATGCATAAATATTAGCAACACAGCTGTGGATATATTTGCAAATGTTACATATTCAAACCAAGTATTAATGCCAACAGAAGATTAATTTAAACAGTCACAAGAGTTCTTTTTACTTCTCTTAAATTTATTAGTACTAACCTGATCAAATGCTGGAAAAATGTAATCAGCAAACTGAATTTCTGCAATGGCTGTAGCACCAGTAACAGCAATTCCAATACCAAAGCCAACAATTCCTTGTTCACACAAGGGGGTGTTGAAAACTCTATCTTTACCTATTTAAAAAAATAAATAAATAAAAATAAAGCATTCCTTTAACACACTGTCATGGTTTAAGCTCAGCCAGCAACTGGAAAACATAGCCCAGAAATATTCAAGTTATAAACAAGTCATCTGCAATTAAGCATATGGCTCTTTAGATGGGCGTAGGAACAATACACATCCATTACAGCTAAACATACTTTCATTTTCATAGTAACAGCTCAGAGGAAGACATGGAGAAATAAAATAAGAACAGTTTCTGTAACTTAAAATGTTCTGAATACTTCAAGGAAAATCATTTGTTCTGATGAATATAGAGATAAACACACATGCCCTTCATGCTTATATGGGAGGAATAAAGAATACTTACAAGCATTTAAAATAAGCTTAGAATAAAGAGAAGTACCAATACTTCAATTTTTTTCAGGCAGTCAAAATGAACTGTCCATACTCAAAGCAGATGGATCTACGAGAGCATCTGTATGAAAGTACAGTCTCTTGCCCACACTCCACATAAACAATGCCCAATCTGAAACACAACTACAATATCCTCTATAAGACATATTTTACAATATTTGCCAGCACTCTCCCTCAGCAGACAAGCAGGGGAACCTAGTTAGGCTATTAAATTTTCCATTCAGAATACTGAGAAATAGACAGGAGGTTTCTATTGGAGTCCACTATGCATGAATATACCAAGACTTCAAACTGAATGGGAAAAAATGTGGTTACACTACACACCAGTGGCTGTGAAATAAATTAAACAATAACTAAATAACCACTAAATAAACAAGTAAAGACTAAACTAATTAATTTATAATTATGAAAGTTGTTACTATGAAGATTCCTGACTTCAGTAGCTGCAAGATAACAAACTAGAGAAAGGGAAGCTAACAAAAGGTTTTAGGAAGGGATGAAAGAGAACCACTGCCCACAGCTGTATTTACAATACACAAAGAGAGACATGTTTTACAAATCTTTGAAGTACACCTCTTTCATCTTCACACATCACCCAGCACAGCATTGTCACTGCTTGTACCCTGTCCACATGGTTTACATGGTGGTTTGAGTTTCCTACTTCAAGGGTTACTTTGGTTTGGTTTTCGGGAGGGGGGGGGTTGTGTTTTGGGGTTTGTTTTTTATTTGGCGGTCTTGTTTGGTTGGTCAATTTGGAGGGGATTTTCTTTTTTTGAGATGTCATCAGTAATTAGTCTGGTTCTCCTTCTGCCTTCCTCTCTTTCCCCTCCATCGGGAACATGACTAAGACATCATTCATTTATGGCAAGTAAAAAAAAAATGCCAACAAATGAGACTACAGTCTTGGTGGTATCAGTGAGGCTACACAAGCCAAGCCAAGTCCAGAGGGCCACCATAACTGCAGGACACTCTATGATTTTGCATACAAGACAGAGGAAACATTTTTCAAGCACCTTAAATATCACTTGAGGGAAAGTATCATTTTCTCAAATTAGTCATTCCAAACTTCTGTGACTTCTATTCATTTCTTACAAATCAGTGTTTGAAACAAAAATCCCTTGACACAGTATTTTTAAGACACATGCACACTGGGCTGGTTTATGTTTAGAAACAAGTGTCCAAGAAACTAAATTCTTATGACAGAAGTCCTGCTATTGCTGCTAAAGATAAAAAATGTTGCCACAGCTAGCTCAATAATTAAAACTGAGTTCCAGATTAATAAAATTATTGCATAGCTTTTGAAATAAAGTGGGATTTCATTGTCTGGATGTCAAACACACCCTGATCAACACTGAATCGCAGCAAAGCACTTTGAAGATCAAAGAACATTTTACAAGCAGAAAAACCTGCTAGCTCTCATTTCCCAGGTACGTGCACAAGCTGATCTCAGTAATTTCTAGATGTGGGTCGTCTGTACTTTGTTTTCCATCTTCTGGAAGAAAAATAATAATCTCTGCAGATAGTGTGCTCAAAAGTTATTGAGACTGAAGATAGCATAGGAAATGAGAATAGCAGTAACTTCATAGTACTGCCATTTACTCTTGCTAGGCATTTATTTTATCAGCATGCTGCGGTAACGGTACTAGTCTGCACACTTCTATTCTTTCTTTAGTAGTACTGCCAAGGCATCTGGCAATGTCACTACACAAAAACAGACACAGCTCTGAAAGATTTTCATTCAAAGCAGCAGAAAGAGAGAATGCTTTGGGAAACCTAGAATTGGGGAAGATAGATATTTATTGAAGATGGAACTTGTTTTCATGTCCTTATAATTAAGTTGTACTCACTTCTGACAGACATCAATTAATTAAAGCCCAAGACACAATGAGTTCAAAAAGGATCACACAGAATCATCTCTTCCCTTACGAGCCGACAAAAGGGGATTTCAGACACATCAGAACCATGCTTCTCCCAAGCAGAACAAGAAACTTTGGCTTTCAGGGCTATTTAGCCCCATTTCTACAGAGTAAATCAATCAGTAAACTAATCCGTAGGATGAAGAAGGAAAATAATGTCATACAAAGATGAAAGAACTTCTGTAACAATGAGAACACAAGATTATTTTTGAACCTAGAGAGCATACATACTTGTGTAAATTGTTCTCATTCCAGAACGATGGCTGTAATCTCAGTTCCCAAGCTACACAGTGTCCTCTAGTGCACTGCCTCCACTGACAGGCACCACAGTCAAGGAAAGAGGAACATAAATTGCCAGTGCAAATGTGTAGTTGCCCCAAGCTTTACCAGCATCTGTGAGGGTGAGGAAGGCCTGCAGCTGTCCCTGTACCCATATCCACCTGTAAGACTATGATCACTTGACAAACATCTCCTTCTCTCTTTTTTATTTAATTTAGGGTACCATGAATTAGACATCTTGTTTCCCTTTTCTTTCACTGATGCATTTCTTAAATTAAAACATTTCAGATTTTAATAAACTAAAAATGTGTTAACATTACCAAGACACACAGCTCTTTTCTACTTCTTCAAAGTCAATTGGCAGATCAATATATATCACTTCATTTGCTTACATTTTTGTACAGGACATAACCAGAAAGAAAACACTGGTGGGGAAAAAAAAAAAATAAATCTTCAATTCACAGTAAATTTAAAAATATAGCTGTTTTATATTGAAATTAAAATATTAAATTGGCTTTTTTCCCATTCATGTGGATTTAACACATATTTATATATAACATTTATGTTTATGTCTATATTTAACACATACTGCTTTACTGAAATACAGGTAAGTCTGCTTTAAGACTCTACCAAATAGCCTACAAAATATACTGTCTTAGCAGAGCAAAAAAACTCAGACTGTTGAGAAGGGCCCTGAAGTCAGATCATATTAAGCTTACCTAGCCTTAATCTTTATTAACAAGATTTTTCAGAGTACACTGAAATAGCCTAACACATTGGTTCCATAAATAATTTTATTTCATCACAAAAAAGTTAAATGTATTAGAACAGTCCTGTAAAATGACTAATTTTAGCTAATAATTAATAAAAACTTCAAAATCAATTCTTTAGTATCAATTTGGGGTAGATGAATTTAAAAGCACAATAATGTGCCACTCTGATTCAAAATATAAAATATACCCTACTAAAACTGCTGAAATACTGTTGAGGTATTAAAGGCACCATGCTGCTACTAATGGACTATAATGAAGCAAATGATGTGATAATCAATAAAAGCAAACATGAATTGCAACATGACACCTATATCAGCTTGAAGCACCTAATTTGAATTTTTAGAACTAGAGGCATAATCCTGAAGTACTATGGCTTAAAACAGCAAATGGAAGAGCCAGGTAATTGTCACTGAATGAGATTTATTAGTAAGAAATGGTCTCGATTGAACATTTAAAACAATAATGCTAATTCCCTTAAAAGCAAAACCTAAAGCACTTTACTATTCACTAGATGGGAAAACAAGCCTTGGATAGAGTTTCAAGACGTAGGGTTTTCTTTATAAAATCTAACCCTTTAAGACAAAAAGCTACATAGATCATTGGGATAAAACAAATCTATTAACTTTCCTGAACATTAAAAATTGTATGGCATGCCTTTAACTTCTTATTTTTATTGACACAGTATGAAAAAACATTAAAGATTTTGTGTTTGGGTTTAGTAATCACTGAACATTTAAAAGCGTTAAGCCTATGTATCTCTATTTTATTTCACATTTTTTATTTTTCACATTTTTTCAAAATCTGAAAAAGTCAATTTTGATAAACATCCATTCACATCATCCCTTGCAAAGCATCTGAGTCAGATTTCAGCTGAAATCTCACTGCAGCAGACAAAGAACCCAGAGATACTTTGCCTTTTCATATTTCATTTCCGCAGCCATGAAGAAACATTTCCTAAAATGTATTCTTCTCCTATTACTTGCATCAGCCACGTAGCTCAAAACAACCTAACACAAACTCCACAAGCTGACTTGTCACTCCAAGCAAAAGCAGTACCTCCACATTATCTGAAACCAGGTGCGTCAGTCTCTGAAGACAGACGTTATGCTGGTATCCATTTCAATTAACATGCCCAGCTTTATCAACATCCCTAGTTTCAGCCATCTGAACAGGTTGGTGCCCTTTTCCAAGCAGTGAGGGAAGCAAGGTGGCAAATAGGGCATGTGAAAGAAAAAAAAAAACAGAAAAAAAGATGATTCTTCTCATCTTTCCATCCCAGTAACTCAGGAAGAAGATTAGATGCATGTTAAGCAGGAGAGTAAATACACTAGTATTGCCGAATAAGGTAAACCTGACAAGATTAAAAGAAAAGTGCAGTATTTGATTAAAAACAATTTTAAAACAATTACTTCATCCTCCTGATCTATTTCTAATTAAACAAAAAAAAAATTATGTCTCCAACTTTTGGAACAAAATGTTAAGTACCCACAAAGCTTGAAATTACCACTGACCCTCTGCCTAAGGGGCAAAACCTTCAAGGCAGCCTTACAGTCATCATCTCGCCCGCCAGCAATAGAAAGTTTCATAGCAACCTAACAGAACATGTTTACAGACATACGTAGTTGATTA